ATCAAGGACTTTGAGGGTCTTACCGCTTTTGACCTCTACAACTCCACTGTAGCCGGAACCAACCCTCCAGCGGATGCTCTTTCCTTTGAACCGGCTCGCCACCACCATGAGCGTACCCTCACACAGCTCTTCACATGGGGATCCAACCGCAACTACAACCTTGGCCTTGGAGATGGAGATGATCGTCAGCTTCCGGACAAGATCACCTTGCGCCGGCAGCCGGCAGCCAACTCGTCTTCACCAGAGGAGAACTTCAGAGCCTCTCTTCCGGCGGGTAAGAAGTTCGACCGCATCGGGATCAAGGACATCGCCATGAGCCGCCTCCACACCGTCGTACTCACCGACGAAAAGGTCGCGAATGTGTGGGTGTGCGGCCTCGGTGCCAACGGCAGACTGGGTCGCTCGCCCCAGACACAAACGTCTTTTGAGCCGCTCAAAGATTTTGCCGAGACGGCGCGCTCGGTTGCCGTCGCTCAAGATCACACCCTCATCATCACCGCCTCGGGCGCAGTCTACTCGTTTGGACTCAACAGGTTTGCGCAGCTCGGATACACAATCGAGCAGGAATTTGGTATTGTCGCCTCGACAACAGCCAAGCTCGGCGGAGGCGCGGGCGTTACCTTTGGACAACCTGCCAATACACCACAGGTTGAGCTCGATATTCAGATCTCGCCCCGACGTATTGTCGGTCCACTCAAGAAGGAATTCGTGCTTGGTGCAGCATGCAGCAAGCTGCATTCGGTTGTCTTCACTTCCGAGGGCCTCTTCACATGGGGCACCAACACCGGTCAGCTCGGATATGACCGTAGCGGAACTGCCGTCCAGATCCAGCCCCGCAAGGTCACGGCGCTCGCAGCAGGTTCGGGTATCCAGCAGGTTGCCGCCTCCGACTTTGGTACCGCTTGCCTCATGGAAGGCGGCGATGTCTTTGTGTGGCACAATGATACGCATTTCCGCATCAACTTTCCCCTCGCACGCTTCTCCAGCAGCATCTCGGTCTTTCGTCCCAGACAGGTGCAGCCCAAGGCGCTCATCTCCAAACTATCGAGCAGCGGCAACACGTTTGCCGCCCTTAGTGACATGGGCGACCTGTTCACCTTCAACCTCGAGCATCCTTCCGAATACAGCAGCACCGGCACCGTCGGTCGTGCTCCCGCCGCGGGTGGATCCGCTGCCAAGTCATCGGCTGCACAGATGGCGCCCAAGCCTCAACTTCTCTGGTCCGTCCGCAAAAAATTTACCGCCGTGCGCGATGTTGCCATCGGCGCCGACGGCTCGGTCATCCTTTGCACCGAAAGTGGTCATTGCTTTGTCCGTCCACGTCGCAGTGACACCGGTGGAAAAGGCGGTGGTGGCAAGAACTTCAAATTTCAGCAGATCCCTTACCTTCAACGCGTCGTCAAAGTCGCTACGAGCGAGAGCGGTGCTCTGGCCGCAATCAAGGCGGACCCAGGCATGCGTGATGTGCGCGTCAAAGGAAGAACCGTCGAAGAGGCGCTGCGCGATCTGCTTCCGCACCTCAAGGTGCAGACGCTGTCGGAGGATGTGGAAAAGGAAAGAGGCATCACCTCAGAGGTGGTCGAGATCTCGGATGTCCGCAGCGAGGCTGGATCCGAGAGCGACTCGGAGGAAGAGCCCGAAGACACGCCGGCACGTGCCGGAAGCGATGCTGCCAAATACGTCAAGATGGCGCTCCTCATCACCGAGGCCGCCAAGCGATGGGTCGCAGGCAGACAAGTATCGGGGCCAGAGGCAGATGACATGCAGACCGGCTCCACAAAAGACACCCCGGCTCCAGCCGCATCGACAACAACCCGGCGCGAAGCTTTCTACGGCCCGCACAACCTTGTGCCGCCTTTCGGCTGCGACGCTTTCCTGATCGCCGAAGGACACTACCTTCCGGTGCACAAGCTCATCCTAGGCGCGAGGATACCCAACCTGCGAGCGGCATTGCAGAATACAAAAACGAAAGGGTCGCTGCCACAGGGTGTCAAGCTCAACACAGTGGTCGGCGGCAACCGCATCGCGGTGCTGACCTTGTCGAATTGTAGCTTCGTGTCGGCGCTTTTCCTCCTGCACTATCTGTATTCGGACGACTTGCCTCCCATCTGGGTCCCGAGCATTGGTCTTGTCATCGACAAAGAGCTGAAGGCGGCCAAGATCGACCGCGCTCGCATCCAGGCAGAAATGCTCAGCCTTGCCGAGCGCCTCGGCCTGTCATCGCTCGCGGCCAACATCAAAGCCAGCTTGCCACGCCAGCCAGAGCCGACGCTTCGCGAGCACATGTCGCAACTTTTCGAATCGTTCGTCGATGCTGAAGTTGCAGAGGCCCAACATGAATCGAGCTTCAGCGACGTTTCGCTGCGCTTTTCGGATCGCACAATCCCGGCACACTCTGTCATCCTTCGAAGATCGCCTTTCTTTGCCGCCCTCTTCCAGCCGCACTGGACTGCAGAGCGATGGAACGGCGACAACACCATCACGCTCGACATGAGTCACATGCGCTGGGAAGTAGCGCGCATCGTGCTTATGCACCTGTACACGGACAAGGGCGAGACCATATTCGATGGGTGCGACGAGGGACGATCCTTGGAGCAGTACATGGATTTCCTGGCCGAAGTGATGGCAGCCGCCAATGAGATGCTGCTGGACAAGCTCAAGCTCGTCGTCAGCTCGCTACTACGCAAGCGTGTGCTAGCGCATACTGTGGGCGCGGTGATGACCGAGGCCGACTTCTACAGGGCAGATCAGCTCAAGGACATTACGATGGACTACTGCACCAAGAGCATGGAGGCGCTTCTGGAAGGTGGCCGCCTCAACGAGCTCGACAACGGTATGCTGCGAGCCCTGACTGCATATGTGCGCCGCAAGCAAGATGAAAAGCTGCATCGCACCTTCAACGAGGATCGGGTTGCTGCGCTGGTCGAGAAGCACCGCGAGTTCTATGACGACCTTGACATTCCACCGCCCAGTCTGCATCTCATTGCCAACACCGTGCGACCCAAGCGAGCAGCTCCTGCTGGCGTCAAGTCTCCATCGCTACTGCCGCAGGACGCCAATCGACGTCGGTCGAATACGCGTTTCGGCATCTCGAATCCCGCCAGCCCGGATGCGCTTCGGCCACTCGACAGTATCGCGCAAAGAACGGCCGCAGACGACTCGGGCGAAATGTTCGCTATGGACGACGAGAACCTGTCGACACCTCGCAAGGAGGCGAGCGTGCGTACGCAAGGCTCGCCATGGGCCGTCCTGCCGCAAGTGGCGCACTTAAGCCTGGATGATACCGTCGACAAGGGCACTCCAGCTCGGCCGTGGAAATCCAGAACGGTGGAGGCAGAGCGGAGGCATGCAACCCCAGACGTGCCGGGGTCACCTGCGTCGCGCCCGTCGGATGCGCCGACCGACCTGCGCAGCATCATGGCCAAGGAGCAGCAGCGCCAACATCAGCAGTCAGCCCTTCCGCATCTTTCCAACGCCACAACTCCGAGCGGATCTGGCACATCGACGCCGGTGCAGAGAGCAGCAGCCCCTGGCTTTGAGCTCTCGCCCGTCAACATCGCAAGCACACGTCTCTCTCAGAAAGAGCGGAAGCGACTGCAGCTCCAGCAGGAGGCGACAGCTAGTGCAGTAGCCGTGCCTGCGCAGCCCCGCAGTGTCAGCTCGTCTTCACCGTGGAACAGGGCTACCACCGGATCGTCACCCGCTGATAAATCTGCCGCTTCGTCGCCGTGGAGCTTGAAGGCAGCAGCTACAACGGCCATGGCTCTGTCGACTTCTCACGAGGGCTCCCCTGCAGCAGCTTTCAGTCCGAGTGGGCGACGTCCGTCTGCAGCACCTGTGCAGCCCGGGTCAGGCCCCCGTCCATCACTGTCCGAAGCTTCTGCATCGCCAGCCGCCAACATGGGCCCGACGTACACCCCAATGCGCATGGAGGCCAAGTCGACGCCTAAGCGCATGATGAGCAACGAGGCTGCTTGGTCGACACCAACGGTGGTGCCGGCCCGCGGCTCGTTCGGCACATCGCCGTCTCGGCCTGCAGCTCCTCTTGCTTCGCGAGAGCCGGCGTCAAATACGCAGCGGTCGCTACTAGGCGCCTCCCGACCTTCGCTGGACGCAACCGCCGAACGTGCCACTTTACCTGCTTCGCCGGCACAGCTGACCTTTGCTCAAATTCAGGAGCAGCAACGACTGGCAATCGAGGCGGAGCAGGAGACGATCAAGCAGGCCGCCGCTGCGCGGCGCAGCTTCCTCGACATTCAAGAGGAAGAGCGCCAGGCAGAGGAGCGACGCAGAGAGGAGCAGAAGCAAGCTGCCGAGTTCGAGAAGTGGTTCGCGGAAGAGTCGAGGCGCGTCCAAAAGCAGACCAAGGCGAGCAAGTCTGGCACCAATGGAACGGCGAGTGCTAATGCCGGCAAGGGCAAGGCGCAAAAGAAGCCAACCAGCAAGCAGCAGCCGCAACAGCAAGGATCACGCGCTCAAACCGATGCGAAAGCCTCGGAGAGCAAAGCGCCAGGCGGCGGAAAGAAGGGCGGAGCTGGTGCCGGAAAGGGCAAGCAGTCGAACCCGACCGAGTCGGCCTCCACGCAGGAGCAAGGAGAAGGACCCAAGGCCGACCGCAGGGCAGGCAAGCAGCGATCGGGATCCGTATCGCAGAGAAAGCCAGCAGCGGACAAGCCGCCGCCGAAGAACGCGGACCGCAACGGCGGCCAGAACGGCCGAACGCCCGGCAGCGATGCCGGTAAACCACTTCAGCCTCCACCGCAGCATCTGCCTGCGAAACCGTCCAATGCCGACCCCTCGCTTTCGGCGGCAGCGCCCACCTTCACCCCGCGAAACTGCTAGCCTGCCCTGATCATCAAATTTGGATCGGAAAACTTTCATAGACGTCACACACACACATCACATGCCGTGCCGAGTTTGCAGAGCGATGTTTGAGAAGTGGCGATTGCAAGCGGCGGAGCAGGAGTGACACTGAGCGGGAGAGTGGGGTTGGAGAGAGCTTAGTTGGGGTTGGGTTTGGTTTGGGAGGGAGGTGCCGAGGTAGCTGCGATTTCGAGGGGGTCGAGGGGCGGAGTGGGTGGGTGGTCGTCGATATCCGAACGGAGAGGTTTGGGGCGGTGGGTGTCGACAGCTTCGATGGGGAGTTGGAATCTCTTTTCGTCGCAGCCGTACGCCTTTGGGGTGAGTTGGATGACGGTGTGGAGAGGGATTTTGATGTAGGGTAAGTCCTCCTGCGAGAGGGCGTGGAAGTAGGCGTACAAGCATCGGATGATGGCCTGGTGACCGATGATCAAGATGTTTTCCTGACGTTCCAGCTCCATGATGATCGGTTCCAGACGCACCACAACGTCGCGGTACGATTCGCCGCCTCTGTATCTGTAGTTGAACTTGTCGTCATCGCGGTTGGCGTAATCCTCGGGGTAGTACTTTTCGATCTCTTCGTACGTCATTGCATCGCAAACGCCCGCGTCGAGTTCGTCCAGACTCTTCCAGGCCAACTTTGGATACGGCAATTCGCTTGCCGTCTGACCCGTCCTGCGCAGCGTGCTGTGCCAAACCGTCAGCGGTGCATCGCCAATATTGTCCTTGATGAGCTGCGGCAATGCTTTGGCATACATCCATCCGCGCGGCGACAAGTCGGAATCTCCACCGATCTTGCCTTCGACGTTGTACTGCGACTCGCCATGGCGCGAGAAGAAGATGTTGCGCGGCGTCAGATGCAGATTCATCAGGTAGAATGCAATGCGCGACTCGAGATAGCCCTGGATCTGATTGATCGTCACGCTCTTGCCCACGTCCGTCACCTTGACGTAGCTATAGTGCGCCTCGGATCCGTCAAAGTTGACCGGCTCGTAGGTGTCTTCGTAGTGACGGATGCGTTCCAAAAAGTCCTTCTTGGCAGCTTCGGGCGTCATACCGGCATAGTCCGGATCGCCACTGCTCACTTTGACCGCAATATTGGCATCAATCACCTTGGGGTCGGTGCAGATCGACTCGAGAAAGACGAGCTTGAGATCCGGCTCCTTGGCGATACGATCGGCAATCTCCTTGCGACGAGCGCGGGTCGAGTTGGTCGCATCGTGGATTCCCACATTGCCACCGCGCTTGAGCCAGCCGATGAGCTGCTCGAGACACTCCTCGGCCATCTGCGATCGCAGCTTGTAGGCGGACGGGTTGGTGGGGTCGAAGAACGACGCGGTGTGGTCCTCCTTGACGCCAGACGAGTTGTACTTTGCGCGTGCGAGAGCGCGGCGCAGCTGGCCCACGTTGAACACCTTGACGTCGTACTCGAGCCAGCGCAGATACTTGAGCACGCGGTTGGCCACGTAACTCTTGCCGCGCGCGGGCAGGCCGACCATGCAGACGACGATCTTGGCGCCCGAGTAGTCGGGCCTGGCGCCGGCCGCGCCGAGGTTGGGCGTGGACAGGCCTGTGCGGATGCCGTGTCCCAGACCGAGCGCTGCGCCCAGCCCGCTCTGGCCGCTGGAGGGACCGCCTTCGCCGACCTCGGGTGCGTCCTTGAGGATGCGACCGCGGCCGTTGTCGTGGGTGGGCGACATGGGAGCGTGGTGGTGATGATGATGGTGGTGGCTGTGCGAGCCGTGTTGGTGCTGCTGCTGCTGCGACTGATTCTGAGCCTGGTGGAAGGAGTTGGAAAGGGAGCCACCCATGGCAAGCACGTGGCCGGACTGGTTGAGGTGGTCAGCTCCTTCGTAAGGCGTGCCGGGGACGCTGCCGGACTTGCTGCCTGCGTGGCTGCCGGAGCGTGTGCTGTATGCGCCCGTCATGGCGAGGTTGGGACCGGCCGCGGCAGCCAGGCTGCTGGAGACGAGCTCCGGGTGGTCTCGAAGCAGAGCCTGCAGACCATCGGAGGACGAAGCGAGGTTGGAGGAAGCGACGGCGACGTCGAAAGCCTCGCGCTGGGAAGCCTGCGGAAAAGGTGCGGGTCGCGACTGACCGTGGCTCGACTGAGAGAAGTGGCGTGGAGAGGCGGAAGAAAAGCCCGGAGTGCCACCGGAGAGCTTGCGTGTGCCGGATCGGACGGATGCGGAGCGCGACAGATCGCGTGGAGCCTGCTGTTGGTTGGCCGCGGACGCTGCAGCTTCCTTCTGCTCCTGCTCTTGCTGGGCCATCTTGAGGGCAAGCTGCTGTGCCTGGGTGGCACTGTATCGACCGGGCGAAGCGGTGCCCGGGCCGACGCCAGGACCACCACTGAGGTGACGGTGGTGGACAAAGGCGTGGGGCATGACGGGCGACGATCCGCCGCTCTCGATGGCGCTGTCGGCGGCGTTGCCAGCATCGGAGGTGGGGAAAGCTTCGCTGCCGCTGGCAGGCGCGGGGATGTCGACCGGCTTTTGCGACATGGCTTGCGTCGCTATGTGGGGCAAGAGCGAGGTCCTTGAGCGCCGAGATGCTGCGAATCGGGGTCCAAGATTCGATTGATGCGGCTCAGACTTGCAAAATTGATAAGCTGAGGGTCGTGAGATATGCAACAGGAAGGACGAAAGGAGGCTGTGGTAAGGCAAGAAGCTGCTGGCGGGTGGCACAGACGAGGTCTCGACCAGTCTTGGAGCGTCGGGGCAGCAGCGGAAGGGATGGATGCGGTGGTGCGGTCAAGACGGCTGCGTGGCCGCTGCTGGGATCTTTTGCGAGCAGGGACCGGACCGGAGATGAGCGAGGAGGCATCGAGCGATTGCGGGGTGCGGCTCGGGCGAGGCTCAGGCGCTCAGGCGAGGCTCAGGCGAGCCCTGCTGAAGGGTTCATTCATCCTCAGCCCGCTCGGTGCGGCTCAGCAGCGCGAATCCGTCCGGCTGCCTTCCGCTCCACAGCGGTTGGCTCGTTCGCACGACTTCGCACGACTCTCACACGGAAATCTGCCCTAAGCCAGCCAGCGCTCGGGCAATCGAGGGCGCCCGGTCCAAGTTTCATCCGGAAAGTCACGATAGTCTCTGGACGGCGTAACAGTCTTCATTTTCAAAATCGCCGATCCTTTGAGTCTTCCGAGAGCGGATCAGGCAGATGGCAGGTGGAGGAAAGCGAAGGTTTTGAGCTTTTGCCTGGACCCACATATGAACTGTGCGCACCTTCTCTCTTCCCAGACCACGCCGACACAAACACACACACGTGCAAATATGACTCCTGAAGAGTACGAGGCGCTTTCTCCTGAGCAGCAAAAGCAGCACGATGCTGCCGAGCGTGCGCGCGAGGCTGCCGAGCAGGCAGAACTCCCCTACACCTGGAAGCAGCAGCTGGACGCTGTCGAAGTCTCGGTCCCCGTCCCCTCGGGCACCAAGGGCCGCGACCTCGTGGTCGAGCTCAAGAAGCGCAAGATCAAGGTCGCGCTCAAGGGCAAGGACGCCATCCTCGAGGGCGAGCTCGCCAAGGACATCAAGGAGGACGACAGCACCTGGACCATCGAGGACGGCAACCTCGTCGAGATCCACCTCGAAAAGATGAACAAGAACGAATGGTGGCCCAACGTCGTCTCCCACCACCCCAGGATCGACACCACAAAGATCGTGCCTGAGAACTCGAAGCTCAGCGACCTCGACCCCGAGACAAGGTACGTCCGCCCTGATGTCCCCGCATGCAAAGGCGCGCGGAAAACTGACCCCAATTTTGCCCCTGTAACTGCAGAGCCATGGTGGAAAAGATGATGTTCGACAACCGCCAAAAGGCCATGAACAGGCCCACCTCGGATCAGCTCCAGCAGCAGGAGATGCTCGCCAAACTTGCCGCTGCCAACCCCAACATCGACTTTTCCAACGCCAAGTTCAACGCCTCGTCCTGATGCATCCATCCTGCACTTCCCTCACCGATCGTCTCTCCGATGTACAAATGTCACACTTGCGATGCCTGCAACATCTCGATTCTGCAGTGACTCTGTCATTTTTTTCAACCTAACGAGATACGCCAGCACCGGCCGAGCCCGTTGCAGGGGTTTGCTGCGACTGCGGCTGAGCGGCAGCCACACGCTGCATGAGCTGCTTGTCGAGCTCTACGGCGGAATTCCACCTCTCAATCGTGAGCGTCTTTTCGCTGTGCGAGATGGCCAGCAGACGGACGAGCGACATTCTGCGCAGCAGATCCTCCTGTCCCAACGCGCCTTCCTTGCTCGCCACGCCTCCGTGGGCATCCGTGGCCTCCTGCTGCTCTTTGCGTCTCTCGGCGACAAACTCGTGCTGAATGTGTTCGCTGACGCTGTCGGGGATCTCGAACGCCTTGGCAGTCGCCAAACTCCTCGCCCCAAGCAGAGCGCTTCTCCAACCAGCCAGCTGCTCTGCCTCCACCTTTGGCACCGAGCTCGAGTACAGATCCTCGCTACCAGCCTCGGGCGATAGGGGACAGTGGATGTCGAAGGGCAGGAAACTCTTGCCCTGGCTCAGCACGACCGCGTTGAGGTCCGTGTCGAACTCAAACTCCGAGTACGGGAATGCGTACGGCAGCTTGTGCGACTCGAGCACCGAAGAAAGCGCGCGGATGTTGCGGATGCCCGACTCCTTGAGCTGCCCCTCGCCCATGGTGCCTTCGTTCACTACGATCGTCGTGCCGTTCACGAGCTGAAGTCGACCCGCTTCCAGTCCCGTTCCCTCGCCAGCGCTGCGCGCGTACAGAGGCTTGCGGTCGTCATTGAGCGAAGCCAGCTCCATGGAAACATCCACCACCGCCGGAAGCAGCATGTTGAGCCGGCGCGACAGCTGCGTCTGCTCCGCCGAAGAAGCCGTCTTACCGGCCGCTCCAAAGTTGGACACGTTGAGCGTAAGTGCGCCGAGACACAGGTTGGCACGACGCACGTGGATGCGCGCGATCGTCGCCAGCAGCACCAGCTCCGCCGCCAACTTGTCGCCTGCCAAACCGCCACTGAGGAACGCAATGAGCGCATCCCGATCCGCCGACTGCGCCAGCGCATTGCCGGAGGACGATCCGCCGGTCGACTCCTGAGCTTGCACGGAGTCAAGCTCGACGGCGGAAGCCCACACGGCGTGGATGCAAGGCACCTCTGCCGGCTCGGCGCTCGAGGCAGCTCCGGATCCAGTCTCTTGCCACTCGGCCTGGGGCAGGCTCGCCTTGTCCAGGATGCCGATCACCTCGACCAGCTCGGTCGTCTTGAACTTCTCGGCCGCTTCCAGATCGTACAGCTTCACCAATCCGCCGACGTGTGGAGCCTCGGGAATAGGTGACTTGGCGAGAAATGCGCGCGGCAAGGTATACTTGTCCGCTCCGCTCGAGCTGGACGATGCCGCACCGCCCTGCGACGGAGCAGACGAGCCTTTCAGCTCCTCGGCAGCAGCTTCGGGACCGACTTCGAGTTCGCGCTTCATGCCTTTCATAGCCTCCTCCCGCGTGCCAGGTCGGCGCCCAAAGCAGTCGGTGCCCACTCGGACATTGTCGCTTCCAGCCATGGTGGCCACGTCCATGTCAGCCGACATGCCCATGCTGAGCTCCAGACCGCCGTTTGCCTCGGATCCCTCCAGCAGATCCGCATAGGCCTCCTTGACATGGGTCTGATCCGCCTTGGCCACATCGGCGTCCTTGCGCAGCAGCTCGACTAGGTTCTTGCGCGTGAGAATGAGCCTCTCAAAGTCTGGATTGGCCGAGACGATTTCGTCGACGCTCTTGGGCTGGTCCGCGTCAGCACTAGAGCTGTTGGCCGCCGCGCCGATCGTCATGACACCGCGCAGACGCAGATTCGGGCACTTGGTGATGACATGAACAGCGAGCTTGAGCAGCTCGCTCTCCTTTGCTTGCTCCGGATCGGTGGACAGGATGGGAGGCAGGCCGCTCTTCGCATCCTCGCCGCTCGTGTTCACCTGCAGGTAGACACGCAGGGGCTCGTCGCGCTTAGCAGCGTCCGGAGAGGACAGTGCCTTTTGCAGGACGTTCGCCGCCTTGATCGAGTCGAGCGTTTCCAGGAGGTAAAGATTGGGGATGGACGCCAGGAGCTTGCCCTTGTTGCTCTGCAGGCCGCCGACAAAGTGCCAGCGAATCTCGCGAGGGAGCACCTTGGCCTTGTCGACCATCTCTTGGACGTAGTTCTCGCCAAAGTGCAGCTGGCCGGCTTTCCTGTGTGCCGCGAGGATGGTCGAAGGAGGGTGAAGCTTGGAGATCGCGACGAGACGGGGCTCCTTGCCTGACGATCCAATTGCCTTTCCCTTTTCGACCGCACGACGAATGCGCTGCCGCACTTCTTCGACCTTTTGTGGTGACTGAGGCTCTTCGATAGCTACTGCAGCAGTGGCGTTGGTGAGCTCATCCACGCTGGAATCGGAAGATCCTGCAGCTGCCGCCTCGCGATGAGCTTGGGCTGCCCATTCCGTCTGTCCAGGCACGGAGACGGCGTACATGACTGCTCTCTCGGCAAGATCCTGGTGATCCGGTTCGGCGTGCTCAGCATCCGCAGAGCTCTCCGAGGCTGGCAAGGTAGCCTCGCCGCCGAACAAGCCGGTGATGTTGCGGTCCCCCTGTTGATGCTTCGCCAGGAACACCTCAGTGCCCAGACCGGTGTCCTGGATCATGGCGCGAAACCGAACCAGACGATGTGAGCTGCCAGCATCGGCATTCGGCTTTGGCAGAAGCGTGGCGATGTTGGCAGCGGACAGAGTGGGGATCTTGGACTTGGCATCGGCAGAGGCAAAGAGTTGGTGGAAGTGGGCTGTGACGAGCTTGGTGATGCTGTCTGACGACTTGTCCTGAGCATCGTTGTAGATCTTCTGGACGACCTCCAGCGGCTTGTTCAGCGCTGCGGTGAAGTCGGTGTCGGGCACCATCTTGACGGACCGATAACTTGACTTGGTTGCGAAGCACCTAAAATTGCGCTCAAGCAGTGGGGGGGTTGCGAATGGTGCTACCACGAGTGCCGAAAACGAGCCGGACGGGATTGATCGGTTGTACGAGGCGAGCCAGTTCGGAAGGCGACTTTTCATTCCTCTGCTCTGTTGGGCGAGGTTGCGTCGTCGAAATGTGGTGCTCGTGAGCGTTGGACATGAAGCGGCGAAGGCTCAATCAAGTCACCGCGAAGGTTGGGGATTTCCTCAGCCAACCATCCGTGCGCGGGTGAAGCAAGATTTGTCAGGCTTACGGAGCCATGTGGAGTCGAGCGTGGCAGCTGCTGGACCCTGGATGCGGACCCCGTGCACACCTTGACACACAACTCGTCCACCATCCATCCCAGTCGTTGCTATTGGCTTTGCTTGAATACTTCTCGAACCCAACTCCAGAGGCCAACTCAGACCAGAGCAAAACCTGCATCTCCGCCGCTCTCGAACCGGGCGCCAGAAGCCATGTCCGGGCCCGGAGAAGCCTTCACTTTGCTCGAGAGTGGCACCTCTCGGATGCACTTCAAGCTCGCTAAAGCCCTGGAAGATGCAGCATCACCTCTTGAAAGCGACTTCGCCATTCAAGATGCATTGACTCACATTCGCACCCGTCTGGCATCCAAGTCATCAGCACGGCACTTGTCAGAGCTCGTGCCACCGCTTCTCACTCTGCTTCACTGCCTCCACCACTATCCGTTGGCAGGTCAGCAACAGGAGCCACTGGATGTCAGCTTCGCTCTCATCCCTACTTTGCAGCTGCTGAGTCTTGCTACAGACTGGAACGATGTTCTTCTGGCGCACCAGCTTCTGCCTTTCCTGCTCGAGCGTCGCCCATCTCCTCTGCCTATCTCGTCGAGCTCTTCAGCGCAAAGTCGCTCCGCGCACAGAGACGAAGATCATTCCTCATCCCTGCTGCTGCTCAACACGTTCAGGGCCAGTCTTGGCGCGGCCCTAGTTTCTGGTGATAATGAGGCTACTCCCTTCGAATCATCGTCGTCTGCCTCCTCGTCCCGTTCGCCGTCAAGGTCACGCTCTCCATCATGGACACGCCCTCCTAGTACGTCAGCAAAGGCCGCCTCATCAAGACGCACCGATCTCAGAGCCATGGAAACGCTCAAATCGCTCGCAAATGGCATACCGCAAGGCCCTGCTGTTCTGCCATCGCTTGCTTCCACTCTGGTCGCCTTGACTCGACACCCAGACTCGACCATCCGCTCGCTCACGCTCGACGCAATGCTGTCGTGCGCTTCATTCTCGAGTGGAAACCAAGAGACAGATGCGGATGGCGACATGGAAGGACAGAAGGAGATGCTAGAGGCAGCCCTCACAATTGCACGCCTTGTCCTTGCATCCACCTACGCTTTTTCCGCGGGCTCCGACATTGACGAGCAGGACGGAGTGATCCTCGCCGAGATGGAGAGGCGCGTAGATCCGAATCCAGCCGTATTGCGCTCTTGCCTCAGGATCATTGAACGCGCCCGGATGGCAGGTCTGATCTCGAGCAACGAGCTTGCTTGCCACATCGTCGAGATCCTTCAGGCGACTAGATGGTTGCCGATGCATCTCGAGCTCAACTCGCTCCAGCAAATCGACGTCCCGGTCCAGGTGAAGAACCGCACAGAAGGTCTCCGTGCGCGCGCAGCTACACGACAAAGAGGTCCGCTCCAGGAGCAGCACAACTACTATGGCACGTATGCGCCTTGGCTCACCGAAGCTTGCCTCGCTGCTCTCAGCAGATGTGCAAAGGACCTTCTTGCTTCTTCCACGCCCAGACTCGAGCCAGCCGCTCATGCAGAGCTCCTCAAGTCGGTTCTGCGCATCTACAACTCTGCCTCCCAAGGCAAGGCGGCCGCGCTGGCCCTGTGTGTAGCCGCTGCGCGCTGCATCGGCACATTATACAGCTCCTCCCAGGTTGGTTCGGAAGCTTCCGCCAGCTTACGCCTTTCGGCCCCAGGTGGTATCCAAGATGGCGAAACTGCAGCATTGTGGTCTGCACTTACCCAACATACGAGAAGTCAACTCGGTAGCACCAATCCAAACCGAAAAGCTGCAGCTATCATGCTGCTGGACGCATTGCTGCCGGTCGGATGGGCTGATCAAAACACTGCGGCTGCTACCGGCGAGGTAGGCGAAGGATTACCATCACCGCCGCCAGTGCAGTTGACCGAAGAGGACATGGCGCAGCTCATGGCCCTGATAGCCGATTCCGATTCTTCGATCCGCAAGCGGGCTCTGGGGCTGCTGCATCGGGTCGATGCCGGTCTAACCTCGCTCATGCGAACACAGCTGCAATCGGCTGTCGACACGGAGCTTCTCAACGACAAAGAGACTCTGGTCGACCGCAACGCTGTCTCAACCAAGGGTTTGACGTCCGTGGCTTTGAGACTCCTCGAGGTTGTCTCTTTCTCTGTACAGTCTGCGGACGGTGCTGCCCAAGCAGCTGCAGAAAGCGAGCTCGAAAGGGCCGTCATCAGCATCATGCCGCTGAGACCTTTTGGATCATTCGACTCGATTGAGTCCTCCATGGAAACTGCTACGAGCTCGGGCTTCCTTTGGCAACTGCAGACTCTCCCGCTCGATACGCGATTGGCCCTGATGCGGCGCCTTCTGGAAGAGGCTCGTTCGGCAGCCGCTTCTCCCGGTGCTCTGCATCTTCTTTGCACTTTGCTTGCCGACGTTACATCGAGCTACTTTCGAGCCAGATTGGACGCTCCTGACAGCTTTCGCAAGTGGATCGCATCAGAGCTGCTCGGATCACATGGCATCATCAGCCTCTCGATGCGGGCTTCCGGAGAGGCCAGAGCTCTGGCGGCATCGCGCGAGGCTGCACTCGCCATCACCGCTCGGACCGTTTCGTTGATGCTGCACCTGGGAGACTCCGAAGAGGCATCTCTAACACTCGCTACATGCTTGGACGCACTGCAGCTCGTGCTTTCAAAGCTCATCGAGACCGAGTCCATCGCGGCCATTCGGCTCGAAGCGAGCAATCTGCAGCTGATCTGCCGGACGATCCTGCACCCGGCCGAAGCGGAACATACAGGTCTGATGGACAGGATCAAGACGATGGCCTCTGCTTGCCAGACTATTGCAGATTCGGCAAAGTGGCTATTGACGCTCGAGGTCGACCAAACATCCGCCAGTCATCGGAACGAAGACCGCATAGGTGAGTAAGGGCCGGGGATTTCGCGGATATATGTTAGACCGCCTGGACGTGGCTCGTGGCCCGAGCGTTTTCGAAGAAGAAAGGGTTCATACAAGGCCGTATTCCGAGTACTGACCGCACTTTCATCATCGTTCACTTTCGTGCTCCCACTCACCCTCATCATCAACTGCACCGCCCCTTGGCTACACCGCTACACCAGAGGAATCCACAGGATCAGCACTGCTCACCGCGGCAAGCAGGTTCTTCGCTCCCTCGTCGACGAGAGATCGCAGGACGGCACGCTCTTGGACACAGTCTGCGAGCTCTGCCGATAGCTTTGCTGCCGTTCGTCTGCGCGAGCAACTTCCAGATTCGCTGCTGCAGTCCTCCGTCCTTCTCTCTCCGGACGACAGCACCGCAACACTGCGCTCGAGCGATCGTCATTCCCGTCACGGAAACAGCAAGTCCAGCAGGCAGACCCGCCAGGCTCTCTCTCGCTCCGCAATCCCATCCGAAGTCAAGCGCGCCCGGGACCGACGCATTGCCGACGCCATGTCAGAGTCGATAGCCAACCTTGTCCTGGGCTCGGACGCGCATCCCAGCTCGTCCGAGAACGAGATCATCTTCTCAGCGACCTCCTCGGGCGTTCTCGAGGGCGAAGAGCTCGAGCTTGTTGAAGAGGTAGCGGATCCCGAGAGACGTCTCGACCTTGCAACGGATGCAGGAAAGGAACCGTCCCTGCTTGATCTGGTGCACCAGTGCCACAATCACGACCCATGGCTGGACACAAGCCTGACGCCGTTCATTCTCGATGGCGTGCAGATCGGCTTTTTGCCCGCGAGGGTCGTCAAAGCCTGCATGGACGATTCGGCTCGCCAGCGAAAGGCCGGACTCCCTGCGGTCCTGCGCAAAGTGCGATTCGCCATGCACCATCGCGAGATCGTTCCACCTTCGGCAAAGTCTCGTGTCTGCGAAGCTGTCACCTTCACTGCAGAATTCGCGACGGAGGAAGCACGCACCCGAGGCCTGAACGAGGTCGCTCAACGCTGGCGCAAAGAGCGCATCTTCCCCGACCCTCTGGATGGCTGGAGGGACGAGCTTTATGCGATCTACGGCCTCAATCCGCGTCCTGGCACACGCAACCCGATCGCTTTCAAGCTCGAGCGTGCCGCCTGTGCTTTGTTTGGCCTTGCGACGTTCGGAGTGCATCTCACTGCGTACACGGTAGCGCCCGAAACCGGCGAGTTGCTGGTGTGGGTGCCGCAGCGAAGCAGCACCAAGTCGACATGGCCTGGCTACCTGGACAACTCGGTGGCGGGCGGCATTGTGGCGGGTGATCTGCCGATGGAGAGCGTGGTGCGCGAGTGCGAGGAGGAGGCGAACCTCGAGGCGACGCTGGTGGAGAAGCACATCAAGCAGACGGGCGTGCTGAGCTACTGCTACAAGACGTCGGCGCAGGGCTGGATTCAGCCGGAGGTCGAGTACGTGTACGACCTGCCACTGCCATCAGACGTGGTGCTGCAGCCCAAGGACGGCGAGGTGGACCACTTTGAATTGCTCACCCTCGACCAGATCTACGAGAAGATGCGCCAGGGCAGATTCAAGGCTAACTGCGTGCTGGTGATTCTCGACTTCCTCATCCGCCACGGCTACATCACGGCAGATAAGGAACCAGGCTACCGCCAGATTGTGGCGCAGCTTCATGTAGATTTGCGCCTCCCGGGGCCATGATAGCAATGCAAAGACGCAACAGTCGTTCAATTGCGTGCGAGGAACCGGTGGTATCGAAGAGAGCTAGTCGAGCCAGGCTGGAACGAGATCTTTGAACTGCCGTTTGACAGAGTCAGTGTTTGCTGCAAGAGGCATGGCGGAAGGAAGGGCGGGACTTACTGTGCCTTCGAGCTCAAAGTATTCGTGAATGTGCTCGCAGAGATTCTGATAGAATCGGAGCTGGTCCTCAACCGAGGTATCCTCGGGGAATGCATCTGCGAACTGTATACTCTGCAGCGGATCAGTATGCGAACGGTGAAAGCGACACACGATCGGCACTCACCCTGCCAAGAATCGACAGGGCTTCGAAGATCCTTTGAAAGAAGTTTTCGTAGATGGCCGTGCGGAATTCGATCGAGGAATGAGGTCCCGCTTCGTTCAAATCGTCAACAAGGTGCTCGTAGTGGTCCTCGATCGCCCCCATCGCCACGTCAAAGTTGTAGTGTTCGGTGAAGAACTCGATCAGCGGATTAGTCGTTGGCATGGTGGACCCTCGTGCTGAAGATTGTCTGCAATCGAGGTGTGATGAGGAGGAGCGTGGAAAGAGCCGAAGCTGTGTCGGTGAGTGACAGTCTTGATGCAGTGCTTGTGATCAGAAAGCAACGTGCTTGTCCCTCGGAGCGAGGCAAAGTCAAAGATGAGACTCTAGGTCGATCCACGGTGCGGGAGCGAGGGGGACAAAGGGTGCGGAAACCAGGGGAATACAGGCACGCTGTCACCGAAGCAATGATTGTACGCCGCTTGAGGGCAGGACAGCGTCGCCATACGTGGCGTGCGCTCATCCACTCACAAAGCTTTCAGGGCCCAAACATGCGTTCCGCAAATAGACCGTGCGGGAACTGTGTGAGCTTGCGCAAAGTCCCTCGATGTGCGGTCTGTCTGCGCTTGCCGCTTCATTCCGTGTCGAGGCGCAAATTGGGTTCGGCGCGAACATAAACCCTGATGCGCTTTCATTTTGACCCGACTCGTGTCAGGAACATGACCCTAGCTGGTGCGCTCCTTCGCACCTCGGACGGCCCTTTTGATCAGGCGGATGACACCTGACATGCCAGCGAGAATCCGCTGCTTCCCTTGCACGCAGACGAAAGCGCGCCGAAGACCCAATCACAAACGACACTGTGGACGCGATTGAACTCATACTCGCATGAAACCTCGGCCTCGCCTTGCGCGGATCGCGTCATGCCGCAACCTCGACGGTCGGGTACAGGTGCGACGGCGAGTCGCTGTGGGCGCCAAGCGAAAGTGCGGACCCCGACGGGTACCAACACATTCGTTGATGGTTTTGAGGCTCGGGTCTCCTTCCAAATATTTGCCGTAAGTGTGGACCTGAGCTTGCGTCGGACAGAGACTGGCCAAAAAAAAAAGCAAAAAAGGCAACAAAAAGGCAAAAAAAAGGTTCTGAGAGCGGAAGGGTTTCCTGCGGCATCATCGACTCGATACCACGGGCCATACGGATCTGCTTGCGAATGACGCTCGTGTGGCACCGCGTTCTATCCTCTGTGGATCTTCGGCCTTTCGACCTCGCAGGAGCTGAGTAGCTGTGCGGAGTAGGGCCAAGGCGAATGTAAGTTATGCGAGCGCGAAGCGCTTTGCATCGATTTTCTCCGTTGCCGCACGGCGTTCTCTGCGCTTCCGCCCTCCTTTCGGCATGAATAAAGTTACTTTCAATCACGCTCCCATACTGAGCTCTGCCCTGTTCGCGCACTTTGGTACGAGGGGGAACGGTATTGAAACATTCGGGTATGTGTGACAAGAATGTTTACAAGAAGGGGAATCGAGTGAAGCAGAGTAAAAATGATGGACAAGGGGGAGAGAGGAGAGGGGAGGAATTATGAGGAGAAGAATGGGTAGTAGTCGCTCATGAGAGCAGAAGCGAAATGCAAGGGTCAGGCGTCGCTTACTGGGTAGCGTGAGCCTGGCGCATGGCCGGGGCGGGCTCAAGGGTGTTGGTGCCGTTGCCGACGCCGTTGCCGATGCCAGTGCCGTTGACAGTGCCGTTCGAACCGGCGAGACCGGCCTCGCTGGCCTTACCGGCCTCGATGGCTCGGGCGTGGTTGCCGGCAAGGTCCTCGTAGTCAGAGAACTTGCCGCTCTTGAGGTGAAGCGAGGAGTAGTTGCACTTGCGGAGCGCAAACATGTGGAAAAGCGCAAAGACGGGCTTGGCGAGCAGGTCAAGGACACCGTAGAAGACCATTTCGCCGTCTGGCGAGATGGTGTTGCTGCCATCTGCGAGACCCCATGCAATCTGAGGACGCAGGACGACGCAGAACGATGATGAACGACGATGACGAACGACGATGATGAACGACGATGATCAGAAAAGATGGTTAAATAAAAAAAAAA